CGGGCACGGTGGCCGAACGGCCCGTAGCAAAGACAAACGGAGGTCATAGTATTTTTGTCTTGTACGTGTTGCTTGTGGTGGTAGAGCAGGGCGGCACTAGGCCGTCCCACTAGAGCTCTCGCAGCGCGACCTGATGTGATCTTCTGGTACGGATTTTGGTGGAACCAGTTTTGCGGCATGCGATAATGTAATGTTCGTCCGCCACCGCTTCCGCAATCGCATCCACCTCTTCGTTATCATCATTTGTTCCCTCAGATCCCTCCCCTCGCTCCTGATCTCTCCCAATTCCTCCTCCCTCTTCACTCTTCCCTGCCTTTTCCTCCTCCTCCTCCTCCTCCTTCTCCTCCTCCTCCTCCTCTCCCTCCTCACCCTTCTCATCCCTTCCGTCCCCCCCTCCATCCTCCCTCCTCCTCCCCCTCATCGTCTCACTCCTCCTTCTCGTCCTCTACCGCCTCCCTCCCCCTCAGCCTCACCCCTCCTCGTGCTCGGCATCATCACCTTCGGCCTCGCTCACTGTTGCCTGCTGGGGCGGCCAGCACGGCGCTTGCTGCCCGCAACCCGGAAGATCGCGTGGGGATGTTGCAATCGCTGGCCACATCTTCGGACCTCCGGCAATGGGCGTTTCGCTTAAGACATCATCTGACAACACGGTGTAGAAAGAGCGGTTTGAAGCCACCGCAGGCCAGGACTGCATCACAGCTCCTGGGACACGGAAAAGTACGAGTGGTATTCGCCCCCCTAAGGCTACGAGAGTGCCGATTCGGCACACCCTCACGCATCTCCTGCCCCACACGATCTTGGGGCGCGTACAAACATGTGCAATGTGCGCCCCCAGGGCAACGAAGGCTTCGATTCGGCACACTCCTCACGCATTTCCTGCACCATACGCTCCTGGGACATGTGAAAATACGAGTGATCTGCGCTCCGAGGCTGTTCGACCCCCCACGGGACGCCAACATGGCCCCGAGAAACATTGCCACGATTGGTACCGACCTTTGTCGAGGCAGTATCCCAAACACCCACTAATTGCAAACTCTGCGTGCAAGCTTCCCTCTGGGGGCCCACCGTGACCCCCGCTCTGCGGGCTCAATAAGCCTTATGCTGCTAGACGTGCCCCTCCTCCACAGGCCCTTGCTGCTGCACAGCGCCCACTGCTAGGCGCACCTCTCCCCAATATTTTTAAAGCATATCGTCTGATACTAGACGTGCCCCTCCGCCTAAACAGCACCCTCTGTTGCGCAGCACCCTCTATTGGGCAAGGCCCCTCCCAAGCTGATGCAAAAAGCTGTGTTGATACCAGACGTGCCCCTCCTTCAGCACAGGCCTCATTTGTTGCACGGTGACCTCAATAAGACAAGCCCCTCTCTCCACGCTGATGAAAACAACAACCCCTTGGTAATTGAACAAGGCCTCCTCCCAAGCTGACTTGAACAACTTCTCTGCTAGACGTGACCCTCCCCCCGCGCGGCCTCCTTGTGTTGCGCAGCATCTTCCGTAAGACAAGGCCCCACTCCAGGCTGTTCAGAAAAAACCAAGGCGCTGGTGCTAGACGTGGACCAGCACGCGCTGGTGTCAGCACGCGCTTGCCGTCCTACTTTTTGATAGCCTGGGTCGGGGGCACTCGATCGCAGGCTTTTCATGTGCTTCCAAGACCGGACAGGCCTGAAGGTTGAGAGGTGTCACCCAGCCCCGGCCCTGGGGACACCGCCCCCTCTGCTCGCAGGCTTTTAACTTGCTCCACAGACCGGACAGGTCCGAAGGTTGAGAAGGTGTCGTCCAGCCCTGGCCCTGGGGACATCGACATGATGCTCAGCACCCTCCTCTGCTAGGCACCCCCGTCCACGGGCTGATGATCGACACCCCCCTGCGGGCACACTGGGCGTGCCCCTCGTCATGCACGGCACCCTCCATTAAACAAGGCCCCCCCCCAAAGTTAATCCAGCCTAAATTTAAGTCGGGCCTGTCTCTCTACGGGAGGAAAGTTCAAAAATGGTCAATGCAAATAATATGGGGACGATCAGGCCCGACTTAAACCTAAACTGTTCTATGGTGCTAGAGGCGCTCCTCCCCCCACGCGGGCCCCCTCTGCTGCACAGCGCCCTCTGCTAGGCAAGCCCGTCCCCATGCTGATTCTAAAGACTCATGCGATGCCCTACGTGCCTCGCCTTCTGCACAGGCCTCCTCTGTCGCACAGCGCCCTCTACAAGACAAAACCACATCACCGCGCGGATTGAAGTCAACATCTCCTTGGTAGAAGCCGTGCCCCTCTCCCTTCACGGGCCCCTCCTGCTACACAGTACCTTCTATGAGACAAGGCCCCTTCCCAAGCTGACTAGACAACAGCGTCGTGGTGCTAGCCGTGTCCAGTCTCCTACGCAGGCCCCTTATGTTGCACAGCACCCTATGCTAGTCGAGACCCTCCCCAAACTTACGCAAAACGCTCCCGTGATACTAGATGCACACATCTTGCTGCACAGGCCCCCCAGTGTTGCACAGCACCCTTTATTACACAAGCCCCATCCCCAAGCTGCCCAAACAACAACTCCGTGGTGCTAGGCCTGCTCCTCGCTCTGCACGGTACCATCTAGTAGACAAGACAACCAGACAATTCCTCGGTGTTGGACGCGTCCCTCTCCCCACGCAGGCCCCCGCCTGCTGCACAGCGCCCTCTGATAGGTAAGCTCCTCCCCAGGTCCATTCAAAAAGTTCGTTTGATGTGCCCCTCCTTCCGCACAGGCCCCTTCTGTTGCACAGCGCCCTCTACAAGGCAAGGTCCCATCCCCACGCTGCTTAAAGCAGCAACTCTTTGGTGCTAGGTTTGCCCCTCTTCCTTCACAGTCCTCCCCTGTTGCACAGCACCCTCATAAGACAAGGCCCTTCCCAAGCTGATCAAACATCAACTCATTAGTGCTAGACGTTCCCCATTGTCCTACGCAGGCCCCCTTTGCTGCACATCGCCCTCTGCTAGGCAAGCCCCTCCCAAAGCTTATGCAGAAAGCTCCTTGATACTAGAAGCGCCCCTTCTTGTGCACAGGCCTCCTCTGTTGCAAAGCACCCTGTGCTGGGTAAGCCTCTTTCCTCCGCTCCGGTTATATAACAACTCGCGGTGCTAGAGTTGCCCCTCGTCCTGCATGGCACCCTCTATCCATGCTGACTACAAAAAGCTGATTGGTGCTAGACGCGATCCTTCTCATACACAGGCCCCCTCTGCTGCACAGCACCCTATGCTATGTAAGCTCCTCACCGAGCCGATTCAAATATCCCCTTCGATACCAGACGTGCTCCTCCTTCTGCACCATGTAGTATCCCAGTGCGTTCCCGCAGCATTCCAGTAGGAACGTTTCCCGATTGTAACCAAATGGAGTTTCCAATCTGTTTCCATCTAGGAAGGGCCCCGACGGGTTTCAATAGGAAACATCCCTTTAGGATTCCAATAGGACGCGCGCACGTTGGATACCAATGGGATTCAACTGGTGCCAACAGGATCCCAGTGGGAAGGGCGCCAATCGGATTTCAATGGGATTCCCGCTGGATCCCATTCGGGATCCGCCATTTCACATATTCTCGCTTCAGACGAGTCACTTTACAACCAACGCGCTTCAGAGAGCGAAGTGTCTCCGTTACGTAGACTTACGGAGATTTCGAAAATTGAAGAACACGTGTCGTTTGTGTGCGTTTACTTGCCTGATTGTAAAGTGGCCTTCCTGGTTGTAAAATGCTCTTCTGGGACAATCCATGCTGGTTGTAAAGTGCCCCATCTGGTTGTAAAGTGGCCGCTCTGATTGCAATGTGACCCGCACGCCCCGGGACCATCCCTCCTCCGCGGGGAAGGGATCAAAGGGAAGGAGCTGTCTTTCGAGCCAATGACAACGTTACTTAATTTCGCTGTGGATGGGCTGGTGTATTTCACTCTGGCTGGTGTGCTTGAGGACGAGGGCCCAAGGAAAGAGGGGGAGCGGCGACGGACTCAGGCGAAGGAGGGGACGTGATGGCGGCGGCGACGCGACGACGGCAGCGACGGCGATGGCGGCGGAACAGCCCGTGTCACACGCCGACAGGGTCGGTGGATTAGACAAGGCCCTTCCCAAAGCTGCTTAAACAACTCCTTATTTTTACACGTCCCCTCCCTCTTGACAGGCCTCCACTGCTGCGCGACAACCTCTGTTAGGCAAGGTCCGTCCGCAAGCTGATGAATCAAAATCCTTGGTGCTACACGTGTGCGGACCATCTTTATTTGACAAGGCCCCTCTCCAAGCAGACTTGTTCAAGGATATGTTTGTGATAGACGTGTCCCTCCTCCTGAACAGGCCCCCATCTGCTGCGCAGCAACCTCTGCTAGACGAACACCTCCCGAAACTGACTTAACAAGTTCCTTTGATTCTAGACGTGCCTTGTGTTCCTGCACATCGCACTCTATTAGACGGGGCTTGTCCCACAACTGATAATAATAAGGTCCTTGCTGCTGGAGCACCTCCACCTACACAGACCCGTTGCGCAGCACCCTCTATTTGACAAAACCCCTCGCCAGGCTGATTGAAACAAACTTATTGGTGCTAGACGCCACCCTCCTTCCACACCGGCCCCCTTCTTTTTGCCCCCTGAGAGAAGAAGGACCGAGAATCGCAGAGGAATAGAGAAGTAGGAGCGTCGAGGAGGAGGAGAAGGAGGTAGAGCAGGAGAAGGAGAAGGAGGAGGATCCAGGACCGGGCTCCGCAAGCTCGTTCCGTTCCGCTCTCATCCCAAGGTGGTCCTCTCCCTGGTGCCCCCAGACGTGGCCCAAGGCCCCAGACTCGAGCTCGGGGCCCCAGGCCCTGGCAGGGCCCCAACGACTGAAACTCCTTACTTCCTCCTCCTGCTCCTCCTGCTCCTCGTCCTCCTTCTCCTCAACCTCTCCTCCCCTCCTCTGCCTCCTGCCTCTCTCCCTCCCTCCTTTCCTCCATCCCTCCCCCGCCCAGAAGGAGGAGGGCCGCCGACTGAAGGGCTGGCGGGGCCATGCCGAGGCGCATCTTCATGAGGGCCTTCCCAGAGACGCTGGACGGCGTGACTGTCGAACAGGTATCCGGCTGGAGGAGCAGCAGCGACAGGAGGAGGGATATGGGGAAGGGGGGAAGGGAGGGGGAAGGACGAGTAGGGGGAGGGTGATGGCGATGGGAACGGTGATGGTGATGGTAATGATGTTGAGGGTGATGATGATGACGGTGGTGGCGATGATTGTGATGATGATGGTGGTGATGATGGTGATGATAATGTTGGTGATGCTGGTGATGATGACGATGACGATGACGATGACGGTTCATGTAATGGTGATGATGTCGATGATGGTGGTGGTGATGATGGTTTGATTGTGATGATGATGACGACGATGATGTTCATGATGATGATGATGATGATGATGATGATGATGATGATGATGATGATGATGACGATGACGATGACGATGACGATGACGATGACGATGCTGGTGGTGATTGCGACGGTAATGATGATGGTGATGGCGATGCTAGTGATGATGATGATGGTGATGCTGATGCTGATGCTCACCATCAACAGCATCATCATCACCATCATCACCATCATCAGCTTCATCATGAGCAGCAGCATCATTACCATAACCATCACCATCGTCATCATCGTCATCACCATCATCATCAGCAGCAGCATCACATTATCATGTGGAGGAGGAGGAGGAGAAGAGAGACTGTTGTCGATAGGTTACAAAAGTAGTTGAGGGTGGGCTTTAGGGTTCTGGTGGTCCTTTCCCCTTTCCACCTCATTCTCCTCCTCAACCTCTTCCATGACCACTTTGGCAACGCGGCAGGCCCACGCCTGCGCCTGGAGCAGCACACCCAGTTCGGGCTCCTCTTTTAGCCTCATCATGTCGCCTGCCGGGGCTGCATGGCGACGCGCTGCGCACTGTGTGGGCGGCTGCAGGGCAACGCCGTGCAGGCCTGGCGCAGGCGGCACGGGCTGCCCGGCGGCGGTGGAAGACCCGCGGCGTCCAGCCGAAGCAGAACGAGGTCGATGTCACCGGCGGGAGGTCGACGGGACGGATCGGCCGTCCAGGTTGGGAAGGTCGTCGTTGAGACGATGAACGATCTTTCGTTGGAGATTCTCGGTGTGGACAAGTTTTGGCGCACTCAGCCCAGATTTTTGACGGCGGTGAAGCGGCGCCCCATTAGGAGCAGAAGGGCGACGGAAAGCTACGACTGACCAGTGTAGGGCGATCAAGATCATGGGTAAGGTGTACATGAATTTGGCAGTGGGGCCAGACCTTCGACTGTTGGCTTCGAAGGCCTCCTTCTTTCAGTATGGGGCCCTGGCTGGTAGGTCGATCCGCCATTCGACAGCGATTGTAGCCGAAGTTGCCCGTGGGTGCCGACTCCATGAGCGACGATCGATGCTAGCGGCTGGCACCACCCATAGATCCTCGCTGCCATCCACATACACATCGAAAAGGCGCCTGGGGGACCGTAGCGTGGTGAGTCGAGCTCCTCCTGGTGGGATTCCAGTAATATATGCCAGGACGTCCAGGAGCAACGAAACCGCCAGCGGTTCGAAAGGGGCGTCTGGGACGTCTATGTCGACGGAGACATGGTGGCCCCGCTGTCTTAAGCGCTGACACGCCCAGTCCAACATGAGGTCAACATTGGTAGGCACAAGCATGCCATGACTGTCCGCGCCGAGCAGGTCGTGCGAGTCCCAGGAGGCTTCGATGTGCGCGAAGCCTTCGGTGGAATTGCCTCGCTGCCGTAGCATGTCCCACATCGAGGTTCGAAGGTCAATCGTCGCGCCCACTCATAACATCCTGGAAAGGGTCTAGTGCACCCTGATTGACTTCGCGGCTCTGGAGTGGTCCTTGTCTGAGTGCCATTCGACCGGTAGCGCGGCGAAGGCCTTCGGCGATGCGTCTTGTCCACTCGAGCTGCGCGGTTACAGTCAGGACGCTGAAAAGAGGGCCGCTCTGGACTCAGGAGGGTTCTCGGGTTTTCGGGCCGTTCCTTTGATCAGCGCCAGCGCCGCTGGCGCCGCTGCCGCGCCGCCGTTGCCAAGCCGCCTCGGCGCGCCCGCCAGCCGCTCAGCACGCGCCTCCAGCGCTAGCGGCCCAGTTAAGCTGGGGCCGCGCCCCCGCGCTCAGCTCGCGCGCGCGCGGCGAAACTCTGGCGAG